ACGGGGTTTGGGTAGGGAGAGCACATGCCAGGTGTAAAATCTGATCTTGGCCTCAGGGGATGCTGCCGCACACCCTAACCGCATCCTGCTCTCCTCCGAACGGAGGCCGACGGCTGGCTCCCTGTGCCCCCCCGGCGAACCGCTGACCCCCTTTCTCCTCCGGTTCCGCCTTGTAGGCACCCTGACAAAAACAAGGACCCGGGAGCAGAAGACAAATTCATCCAGATTAGCAAGGCCTACGAGGTAACGCGCTCTTCTCGCTAAACTCCCGCTGTCATTAGAAGTTAAGTGGCCTTACTTGTCTGTACGTGGCTTTGTGCTTTTTCTGCGCACGCCTGCACAGGAAAGGTGTTCGACCCTGTGGAGGCGGACGCTGCCGACGAGAACGGTTTCCTCCACCGCGGGCCTGCCCCGTTCTGGCTAAAAACCCTCAAATGAGGGAGAAGCGGGTATTTGCCGAGCCCCGTGCAGCTGGCCGGCTGGCTCGTCCGTGTCGCACGTGCATATAAGTATTTTGGGGGTGATGTAAGCAATGGTAATCACTGACAGCGCTTGAGTCGCTTCAAATTATTCTTTGCATAAGTAGTATTTGCACGCCGCTCGGGCGCGGCTCTCGAAGGCGGCTGCCCCGCTCTGCGGTGGCTGACCCGATGCTTCCGTGGCAAGCGACGGAGCCCACAGAAATAAAGCCAATCCTCATCTCCCAGCCGAAAAACTCAGTTTCTCTCCGCTTCGTAAAACTTACGGTGCTTTCCGATGCGCCGAGAGAAACCCTTGGCGTTCAAGCAGATGCCGGCAAAAGCCGCGCTGTGCTGAGGGTGACGTTTGGGCTCGGGGAGCAAATCGGCAGCAGAAATGGGTACAGCAGTCTGGATTTACAGGCTCCCTTTCTTTTGGCTTTGGGGTTTTTTTACCCTTATTTACCACGGCGAGCCTGGAGGCAATGCGAGTGCTCCCTTTTCCGGAATACTTATCCCTGCGCCGCGCAGCAAAGACTGCGCGTTCCCTTGTAGCCCGTCCTTAGGCAGCTGCAGTTGTTTACTAAGGGGTTATTGTCAGGGCAGTTCCCCATCATGGTTTCAGGTGACCGTTCTTCTATCCTCGGTTTTTTTACCCTTATTTACCACGGCGAGCCTGGAGGCAATGCGAGTGCTCCCTTTTCCGGAATACTTATCCCTGCGCCGCGCAGCAAAGACTGCGCGTTCCCTTGTAGCCCGTCCTTAGGCAGCTGCAGTTGTTTACTAAGGGGTTATTGTCAGGGCAGTTCCCCATCATGGTTTCAGGTGACCGTTCTTCTATCCTCTGCTTCCCAGATTCTCTCCAATGAGGAAAAGAGGGCACACTTTGATCGCTACGGAGATGCCGGGGAAAGCCAGGGCTACTCTCAGCACCAGCATCGCCAGTTCCACCACTTCCACGAAGGCTTCTATTTTGACGAGTCCTTCTTCCATTTCCCCTTTAATTCCGAGAGGCGCGACACCTCCGACGAGAAGTATTTGCTCCATTTTTCCCATTATATCAACGAAATCGTGCCGGACAGTTTCAAGAAACCTTACCTCATTAAAATAACCTCAGACTGGTGTTTCAGCTGCATCCACATCGAGCCCGTGTGGAAGGAAGTCGCTCAGGAATTGGAGGCGCTGGGTAAGGATGAAGCCACTTAGGCCAGGCACGCGTCCCTCGCCCCGTGAGGCCGCGGCAATTGCCTTCGGCTTCCGAGGACTGAGTTTAACCTGTAGATTTCCTCGGGGGATTTATCCTAGTGCTTTCCCGAGCATTACTAACATCCTAATCGGTGAGGCTACATGTTGTTAGAAACGGGAAAAAACTAGTCCCATAGCTCACAAGGGCAAGATGCCTTTTCTCCTGACCGTACGGCCGGTGGCTTAGTCCAGTACCGGTGCTAATAAACGACGGCGTGGCCGAGGGCCAATTGCACTGCCACGGGTTCAGGCCACCGGCCTAAGTGCCGTGTCGCTCTTCGTCCTGCACTCGGATGGCTCAGGTAAGCAAACATCCCTGCGCAAACATCAGCCCCTCGACTTTAGGGCCACTACCGTACAGCGAAGTTTTGAGACTTACTGACCACATTTGGATGCCAAGGAGGTATTTTGTACTCGCCCCGCCAGCCCCGGCTTCCTTGTTTTCCCTGCAGATATTTTCCCTGCACGTGCTTCTGGAAAAACACACACTCGACAGACAGCAGGAGACAAAGGCAGGGCGGTTCCCACTTACTAAGATTTTTCTCCTTGAGGTTTTCATGTAGCATGTGAAATACCAGCAGGCAGAACAAGAGAGGACAAAGTGTTCTCTCTCTCTCTCTCTCTCTCCCCCCCCACCCCTAGAAAAATCTGTGAGTTTTAAATACAGTTTTCCAGGGATTGGGAAAGGAGGAAAGTACAGAGTTAGTCATGCAATAATCCCTCCTAACTCCTGAGCAGGATGCCAGGCCAGGGCACAGGATTTCAACCTCAATTTTTTACTGTGCATTTTGGGTCATCGATGATCTTTCACGTGAACCCGCTCTCCTTTTTCAGGAGTGGGAATCGGAGTTGTCCACGCCGGGTACGAAAGGCGCCTCGCCCATCACCTAGGTGCGCACAGCACACCGTCCCTACTAGGGCTCATTAACGGGAAAATAACCTTCTTCCACAACGCTGTCGTTCGAGAAAACCTGCGGCAATTCGTGGAGAACCTTCTGCCGGGGAATCTCGTGGAAAAGGTACGCTCTAGTGAGAGTGTCACGCACCGCTTCTCACAATCTGTCTGGATATTCATCTCCTTAGCTGTTTCGGTGGCTAATCTGTTTAATTCAGTCCCCGAGCTAATCTGCGTCACGAGCGCGAGAGGATCCGACCGAGGCTGGTGAAGCGAGGCGGGTTGAGAGCTGTCGTTACAGCTACAAACCCGGGAGCTGTCAGAAGCGATCGCGCAACGCAGCTGCTCCGTAACGCTTCTCCCGGCAAATGGGCTGACCCCGCTACAATGCGGTTACACCGGCAACTTTGCGTGCCCGCTGCTCCCCCAGTTGTAAATTCCCCATGGCTGCCAGAGCTGCACGAAAGCCACCCCTAGGCTAGGAATCTGCAATCGTGCCCTGCCTGCCTGCTGGATGTCATTTCCCTTCTCCTTTCTTGGGGTTTCATCCAGCAAATTAAGGACCACTCCCTAACTTGTAGGCATTGTCTGCTAAAACTCACCCACACACAGACCCATCGTTTCTCTCGTCCAGTTTTGATTCGGACCTTTGAAACTGGAGCCGGCAGCACGAACCCTGTCAAAGTTATAGGTAAAACCTCCTACTAGATAAAAAAATTCCTGCATTTTGGCCCTGCTCGGTTATTTTTGGCAGCGTCCTCAAGCACCCACCTCCCCCGTCGGCGCGACGTGGCCCGGTCAGCCCCCACGGCGCTCTTCCCGTCCCGGAGCCTTGCTCACCTCACCTCGTTTTCCCTCGGGGTCTTCGGCGAGGGTCACCCTTCCCAATGGCCTCTTGACCCGCTGGGCGTTGGAGTTCACACCCCAAAAGTGGGGTCCGCTGTCCCTTTCCGCAGCTACAGCAGCCGTTTCGCCTCCCACAGCCAGGCATTCTGCAAAACCAGAGCTAGCAGGCAGCTCTCCTCCACCTGCGGGCCCCTCAACGAGCTGTGATCCCCCCCTTTTATCTCCTTCCTCTAGGTCAAAGAGGTACTGCTGCTGAAATGGAGTGGGTTTGATGGAGCTCACAGGTGCCCATTAACCCCTGGCTTCCCACTAGATATAAAGCATAGGACCCCAATGAACAGTTGTGAGACCGAAAGGGGCACCAGCGTCGACTGGGAACAGCATCGACAGAGGATGCGATAACTAAGAGGGCGGGTGGGGGTCGAGACGGATGGTTCAGAGTTATTTCCTCCATCAAAAAAGCACAGATCAGGCACACCTGTTGGAAAGACAAACCCACGGTCCGCTTTCTGTAACACCCGAGCAGCTTTTCCTGACTCGGTTCTCATGCGGACACCCGATCGTCCAGCGTTGCGTGTGTCTAACGGCTCCGAGGTTAAACTAACATGCTGATCCTATTTAAAGATTACAGATAAAAACTACATCCGCTTTCTCTCCAACTGGAAGAAAGAAAACAAGCCCCACGTCCTTCTATTTGATCATATGCCAGCAGTGCCGTTATTATACAAGGTAATAGGATTTCTGTCGCTGCGTTGTTGACTCACTAATAAATCCAGCTGTTGCAAAAGAAAAGGCGGTATTGCTGCGAGCAGAGGTGGGTCGGCACCTCTAAATGCTATTCTAAGAGAACAGGTTGATTTGCGTCAGTTGAAAAGGGCACGGCCAGGTGACCGACTTCATCGGCAGGTTGTCTCCCTGTCCTGCCACGGCAGTACCCTTAGCGAATGCGAAGGTGCTGGGCGGGTTTTGGATGTAGCGGCAATGGAGGCGCGCACTCGCCTTTATTGGTAACGAGAGAATTTTGCAGCACGTCTAATTTGGGTTACCAGAAAGCCCCTTTCCTAAGAAACCCCCGCTACCCCACAAAATGTCAGGTGGTAAAATAAAGCTGTGGATCCATCGAGGCTCCCTGTACGATGAGTAAGAGAACGCAAACTGCGGTTCGGCACGGGGAGGAAGGGCTTTTACCTCTTGCGGCGCACGCCCAATGACATTTAAATGGCGGGAGGTGTTCTCGAAGCAAGGTCACTGCAGGCACTCAGGGGAGAAAATGTTGTTTGCTCTCTAATGTAAACACGCGCCGGTGCTTTCTTCCCCTCCAGCTGACTGCCTTTGCATACCGAGATTACTTGTCCTTCGGCTACGTGTACGTCGGACTCCGAGGCGCTGAAGAGCTGTCCAGTCAGTACAACATCAACATCTACACTCCCACCATGATGATCTTCAAGGAGCACATCGACAGGCCCGCTGACGTTGTGCAGGTATCGCTCAGAGCCCTCTCTGACAGCTTACGTGAAACGGACACTGAGGTTTTCTGACCGAGCTTGCGATGAGAGGTTGGTCGGTGGCGCGTTTCAGAGTAGAGAGCGTTTGTTCTCAGCAGAAACTCGGGCTTCAGCAGAGAGCGACCATTAGGAGGGAGGAAGCTCGGTAGGCTTCAACAACGGCGTCTGACCTTTCGAGGAGGGGGGCTGCAGGTAGCTTCTCGGTCTCGGGGCCTCAAAATGTCTCGGGTGATTTCAGCAAGGACCATGATGGCCAGCAGCCTTCCCTGGGCTTCAGACAACGACGTCGCAACAGTTTTTCCTCTCCTCATCCTGCTCAGTTCTGACCTCCGCTTTCTTTGTCCTCACCAGGCACGAGAGATGAAGAAGCAGCTCATTGACGACTTCCTTTCCCAGAATAAGTTCCTCATGGTGGCCAGACTCACCAGCCAGAGGCTGTTCCAGGAGCTGTGTCCCGTGAAGAAGTCTCACCGTCAGCGAAAGTAAGACTCCGCAGGCAACGTGCCCCCCTGTTTTGCTCCCCAAGGCTCTGGGGCAGCTCCTAAAGTCACCTGGTGTTTGATTCTGAGGGTGAAGGGAAACGAGTGCTTTGGGTCACGCTGGGTATCCGCGCTGTCCGATAGGTTTCTGGCTCTTCAGGATCCTTCTGGCTAGCGGAAAGGGGGTGGTCGTTTCCTCTCGCCTCCAGAATGGCTCTTAATCCTCCGTCTCATTGTGTTGCCTAGGCACTGTGTGGTCTTACTTACCGGAGAAGGCGATAACTTTGCCGAAGCTTATGAGGCATTTTTGACTTTTGCCGTGGCCAACACAAAAGACACGCTGAAGTTTGTGCACATCTATAACGACCGGCAGCCGGAATTTGCGGACGCCTTGCTGATGGATGAGGAGAAGTATCGGGGAAAATCAGCTGTGAGGGTTTCCTTTTTTTGTTTTTTCTTTACCCCTTCTTCTTTTCATCTGTCATTCTAATGCACGTCACTTTACGTAGGATGCTATACCCTGATCTGCCACCTAATGCTGGGCAGTGATTTGAAGCATAACGTCTGTCTAGGAGAAAGGACCTTCCCCTCTGACATTTGCGATGTTATTGGCTCGTCCAGGTGGTCATTTTGGAGAGACGCAATAACGCGGGGAAGATCGGCTATAGAACCCTGGAGGAGGTCTGGCAAGGCAGCAAAGAGGACAACTTCATCCTCCTGGATCTCCTGGAGCAGCTGAGGACAGACCCCGGCCTTCTCTCTTCAGAGACTGTCCTGGCAGACTTGAACGACGAACTCGCTCCCGTAAGCACACGGCCTTTCTGGCTGCCTAACAACCGTGTTCCCTTTTTGGACAGTCCCGTTGCGGTCATTCACGGGCATTAGTTGTATTTCCAAATACCAAGGCAAGGCTCTAAAAGTTTTTCTCGCTCATGGAAGGAAGCTCGTGGCGTGCTCCAAAGCTGATTCGGCCCAGGGTTCTCTGTTCAAGGGCTGGGAGCCCTGTCAGGGTCCCAGATAGCGGGTTTGTCATTTGCTTTTTTCTATTTTTTTTTTTTTCTTTTTAAACAGATGTTCCTGATCCGATGGCTCTACTCCATGCTGGACTATATCTCGGACTGCTGGGACAGCTTGTTTCATAGTAACTGGTACGGATTGGGTGTTAATGAGGCTCGATCGGGAGCAGGATGGCCATTACCTTGTTCAGATGCATAGTAGAACCAGGTTCTTATTGACAGGAATTGAGAACGTATCAAAACACGTAGGTGCCTGTATTTTCTGGAGATTTAGGTGAGGAGCGCTGACGCCACAGCAACGTTAGCTTCTGCCTCTGGTACCGGGTACTTCGGCCTTCAGGCTGAGCGGGGACGTTACGCTCCTGAAAACACGCATCCCGTTGTTTCTCACCACTTCCCCATCACCTTATTTTAAAACGGATCCATTTTTGTTCTCCTCCTTTTGGGTGGGAGCAGGACAGTGCTCAAAATCTCAATCACTTGGGAAACGAGCCGAGTTTCTGGGGAAAACTGCACGGTCTTACTTGGGGTAGAGAGGAACCGAAATTCGAGCAGAAACCGACGACTCACAGACCTGATTGCTGTTTGCAAATCTTCCCCTCAGGCGAGAAATGATGCCGCTGCTGTCCCTGCTCTTCTCTGCGCTCTTCATTCTCTTTGGCACCGTTATTGTTCAGGCTTTCAG